GTAAACGACCACGCAGACCCAGTGGCATTTTAATCATTCTTTATTAATACTTGACGGTTGCTGTCCACAATACACACAGAGCTGCAGCTCTCCCGATGCCAGCTCAACGTACCAACCACAACAACCACACGCAGGACCCACTACAGTATTTAAGTAGGCGGGGCATGATTGCGGATCTCATGCAGGTGCGTCTGCCCTCCCTGCACGGCACCGCAAGCCACGCCCAGCCACAATTATAAATGGCTTCAAGCTCACACTGAGGCCTGTGGGGCACTATCAGCCACTGAGACAGTAGACACATTTATATGTGTATTTGTATATGAATATTTCATACTTTAAGGCTGCCTGTTTATTTAAGGGAGATGAATAAAATACATTAGAATTGTACATAATGGTATCACAGGTGATAAATTCAATAGATTTTAAGTAGATGCTTGTGCATTCTTAAAGTCTGTTGAATTGAACTATGTGAGGGTGTTCTTGTCTAATATTTTCATGTGTGTGCGCGTGCACGGGTATGTTGGTATGGGTATATATATATATATTTGTAGGTTGTGTATCCTTGAGGTGTTAATGGGGTTATTGAAAATGTGTATATGTGCGTATGTGTGTATATACGTATGTATGGATAGATAGAAACATATATGTATATATATAAAAGAAAAAAAATTACACATAACATATAATGTAATTGCAAGGAGGTATTTCTGTAGTCTATTGATACTAGATAGTGGAAAAGGGGTAAGGTAAGGTCGGCCGACATGTGGACTCCAAGGAACTTAAAGATTTCTACCCTTTCTACCTCCTCCCCACCAATGTAGAGGGTAGAGTGCTCAGATTGCTTTGTTCTTCTGAAGTTGATTACCATCTCCTTGGTCTTGGCTGTGTTCAGATACAGGTTGTTGTTTTCAGACCATTGCTTCAGATGCTGAACCTCTTCTCTGTAGGCTGATTCATTGTTGTTGTCGATCAGTCATATGATGGTGGTGTCAACAGCAAATTTTATAATGATGATACTGGTGTGGATTGGAGAACAGTCATGGGTGAAAAGTGAGTATAAGAGGGGACTGAGGACACACCCCTGTAGGATACCTACATTCAGAATGAAGGTGGAGGCGGTGTGTGCTCCCATTCTGAGTACAAATAGTTCTATTAAAAATACTCCAGTAAAAGCTGAAGTACTGATTCAACTTCTCAAGTAAAAGTAAAAAACCACAGGCAGTTAAATGTACTGAAAGTAAGAAAGTAAAAATTAGCTTTTTGGAGTAGGTTTCTATTTCTGTGCAAAGCTAAGTGAACCTTGTGCTATATTAACATAATGATAAATTATATCAGTGATGGGGATACAAACTTTAGACTTTTCAAGACATGTTGAGGAGCTGTGTTGGATCACGGACACATCTAAAACCTGCAGGACACCAGCCCCTGAGGCCAGTGTTGGACACCCCTGGTTTATGCTGTCTTTTGTCTAGATGGTACAAAGCTGGTATGAAGGTGGAATCTAAGCATCTTCAGCTAAAAATCATTAGAATCTTTGCGACACTTGATGTAACCTAACTCCCACCATGAAACCACAGCCACTGTGTGCCAGTCACACACTGTTCTTTACTATAAACCCATCAAGGTACAACAAACTAACCAGTTTATCCTTTTATTTAGTATTTTCATCCAGCCTTTAAATAGCAGTCAGTCTACCTCAGTTTGAGTTACAACAAGTTTGCACAATATGAAAAAACATAATGTCACATATACAGATCTGAGTGCGTGTTTAAGATTTTCCACTCTGGCCTGGACCTGTGGTGTTCGCCCCTCTGGGGTGGAGCTTTGGAGACCACACTTGCCTCGACCATCTTTTCCTCGTCACCGATAATCAGCAGGTGTATTTAAGATCAGCATCCCCACCAGTTCTTTGCCAGTTTGTCAGGTACCTTATGGTGGTAGCAGGCCTCACAGTAATTCCTTGTTTTTGGGTTATATTTACCTTGTTCTCCTCTCGTTTCATGCAGTCATGCCATATTTCCATACCACACTTACCTTCCTTGCTCACCTCAGGACGGTGATCTCAAACTAAGGTTTTCTTCCAGTCTTGCACCACACTTCTCAGGATTTGCAACTACTCACCAACTTTGCCTGCCTGTCCTCCTATCCAATGGCTCCGCTAACAAAATGGAACTTAGGTTGGATATTGCCTTTGCCCGGACATTCATTTGGAAAGAATCCCCTTCTCTTAACTCAATCGCGTGCAAACCCAAGTAAGCCACAGTCCACACCAGTATTGCTCTCCCTTGTTCCAAATTGCTCAGGTCAGTAATATCCCTCTCCTCTGTTTCAGTGCCTTTGTCCTCTGAGGCTTGCCATTACGCACAGACACTCCCCATGGCAGTTCTTATGCTCACTGATTCATGTCATTGTAAAGAAAAAAATTTGTAAAATCCTATTTTGCCTCCATTATTGTGTCTTGCACTTGGGTCCACACTGCAATCCGGCCACCTGGCCATGACACAGACCAAATAACTGATTTAAAAACATGAGAACTTGCATGGATGCTTCAAATTTCCAGTTTATCAAATACCACTGAGCAGTTCTTATTTTTAAATCTAACTTCTCTTTTTCTTTCTTATCCTCTCTCTCTCTGAGTGAAGTTAGCTCTCTTTCTTTCCCTGTGAAATACAGCAGCTGGAATTTTAGCAACACACTGTGAGACAGACTGCACACAGTTTGTGTGTTTGCTGATGTTTGTTGTGCTGATAGAAATACTGCATTTGAAATAACCTCCCACTTAAAAAAGTAACCCTCTTTATGCTCACTCCTCTTCAGTAGGGCTAGCTAGATGCTGAACTTACAACTTATGGACACCTGCCATTCCAGTATTGTGGCAAAAACAAACAAACAAACAAAAGAACACAGTCCCACTTTTCACAACTGACTTTGGTGCACATTATCTCTTTTTATGCAACATCCTATGGTGATAAACAAATGGGAGTGCCATTCATGTTTTACTGTTTAGGCTCAGAACAGTTTGATGTATCAAGACTCACATTGACAAAATAACTCGACTGAAATGTGTCAAATTAAAAGTAATGAGCCTTTTTTTAAAAATGTAAGGATTAGAAAGTACAGAGATTTGTTTAAAAATGTAAGGAGTAAAAGTAGTCAGAAAAACTACTCAAGTAAAGTACAGTGTAAAGTACCAGGACCCAACACACCATTCTTCAAGTTTTTATTGATTTTGCACACATAACTTTCAAGGTTCAGCACCCACAACAACCAACTTTTCAGCTGGCTGCACACACCTCACTATAAGAAGGAAAAACCTCATTCGATCATCTCCACCTGTCCCTCCAGCCTCCCTGGCACCGCCCCTTGAGCTCACTGCACTGACCCGTCCTTTCAGCTGAGCCAGAGACCACACCTCCGCCACATACAGATACCTGAAAACTAAGTACAGTAACAAAGTATTTGTACTTTGTTACGTCTCAAATCTGAAGGCTAGACAGGTTCAGCTGTACCCCATGCCTATGAAATGAGCCTATGCTTTTGATAAAGCATATAGTTAGAGCTGGACCAGAAGTCCCTGAATGCTCCGTTGGTTATGCTGCAATAAGTGTAGGCTGCTGGGGGATTCCCAGGATGCACTGAGTACTTCTTCTTCAGTCATCTTTTTTATTTGCTATGTGTTTATACAGCTCTCCGCTTTTAATTATTAGTTGCTATTAACTCCCTAGCTCTCTTCCACAGTGTGTCTTTGTCCAATCTTCCTCTCCCAGCCCCAATCAGTCATAACAGATGGCTGCCCTTTCCCGAGCCTGGTTCTGCTGGAGGCTTTTTCATGTTATAAGGTAGTTTTTCCTTCCCAATGTCACCAAAGCACTTGGTTATATGGGGTCATATGATTGTTGGAGTTTTTACTGTTTCCTTTGTATTATTATAAGGTCTTTACCTTACAATATAAAGCACCTTGAGATCACTGTTATGATTTGGTGGTACATAAATAAAACTGAATTAAATTGAACTGAATTGAATATAATTGAATTAATAAGACCTCAATGAGACTTTCACAATGAAAATTGTTGTACATGAATTATATATGCTTTCTCAATGTACATATTGCATGGTGGTGGAACTACAAGAATATTCATTGTGCCTTTATAGCAGATGATAAATGTAAAACTTGATAGTAACAACATACAAAAAGTAAACTCAGTTCTTTTGAGACCTAATTTTTTCACAGTATTGCCTAAGTCTGCCATACAAAAGCAATCTCAACTGAAAAGTATTTTAGGCCCTGCCCCTACTCAACTTTCAATTTCCCTAATGGGTGGTGTGAAAGAATTACCAACACTGCATGCAAATAAAAAGGAATAGCAAAGCAATAAAACCTAATCACTAGGCTCAGGAATCAGGAAGCTGTCATGTGGTCATATTTGCTAACTATTTTTTTCTTACTTATTTTGGTGTATTCCTTTTCTTCTGCTTCATGTTCTTCTCTGTTTCCCTCCTCCTGTCAGTTACTTGGAAAGTTTCATTTGAATGGGATGCACAAGACTGGAGATGTGATTTTAGGAGGACTATTTCAAGTCCACTTTTTTTCAAGCATTCAGGACCTGTCTTTTACCTCACAGTCACAGCAGTCTGTTTGCCATGGGTAAGTCTGGGATGTATATCTGGGGAACAAAAAAAAAGAAGAACAAAAAACAAACAAACAGTGAAATCAATGGAAGGGAAATATGAATAATGTAATTTATATCTCTAAATTACACTAAAAAATACTAATGTTAAAAGATGCACATATCATATTCTTTATTTATTTTTTTCATTAAATATTACTATAATTACTTCTATTAAGTTATTTAGTCAGTATTTACAGAATCTATATTTTTGTAATATGTTTTCCAAGTTTGCTATATTTTTAATAGTAATCTTTCTTGTTTCTTAGTTTTGATGTCTTAGGATTTAGGCAGGCACAAACCATGGCCTTTGCTATTGATGAGATCAACAGAAACTCCAACCTGCTACCTAATGTGACTCTGGGATACACTCTTTATGACAACTGCCTTGAACTTGGAATAGGATTCCGTGCAGCACTGTCATTAGTCAGTGGTCAAGAGGAGAAAATTATATTAAATAATAAATGTGCTGGAAATCCTCCAGTCATAGGGATTGTTGGTGATTCTTCCTCTACACGTTCTATTGCTATCTCCACTGTCTTAGGTTTGTACAGAGTGCCAATGGTAAGTTTTCTACTCGTCTATGTAATAGTTCTTCTATTATTTAGATTTTATTGCAAATTTAATGTCACTTTTAAAAACACACTGCAATAACAACTGACAAAGCTAAAGAAAACAAAGGCTTTTAGTAGTTCTAAAATATTCAGTCTGTATCTTTCACAGGTGAGTTATTTTGCCACATGTTCCTGCCTGAGTGACCGTCAAAAGTATCCATCCTTCTTTAGGACGATCCCAAGTGATGCTTTCCAGGTGAAAATATATCAGAAAAATTAAAATAGAAAGACTAAAGTGATTTTCAAGAAGAAAATTCCCATTTAACAACATAATACATAACAACATAAACATATTAAAATCATATTTTGTGTATATACAGCTATATTCTGTTTTGTTCTTGTATAGAGAACATAGCTAAATTGCTGTCAGTGGTGATGACCAAATACTGATATAAGTAAATGAATTTAATATATTTTCACTTAGGTACTTGCTATTATTCAGATCCTAAAACACTTTGGCTGGACTTGGGCAGGTCTGCTGATCAGTGATGATGATTATGGACTTCACGCAGCCAGAGCCTTTCAATCTGAGCTGAGTCTGTCAGGTGAAGGTTGCCTGGCCTATGTTGAAGTTTTGCCCTGGGACAAAGACACAGATGAAATAAGGAGGATAGTGGATGTGATTAAAAAATCCACAGCTCGTGTGGTCATTGTCTTTGCGCATGAGAGTCATATGATCAATCTTATGGAAGAGGTTCTGATTTTAAAACAATTTTGTTTTTACAAGTTACAAAAATCATGTATAATATCTTTGAACAAGTACAGATAAATAATCCTCTAAAGCTAGTCTAGGAGATAAGCAATTACTTTACTGTCATTGTAATGACATTAATAAATCTACAACTTACAATTTCACTTTATAAATTTGTTGTAATACAAATCACAGGTAGTGGCACACAATTTAATAGGGTTGCAGTGGATTGCCAGTGAAGCCTGGACAGCAGCTGCTGTTCTACAAATACCTCAACTTATGCCATACCTGGGTGGTACACTGGGTATTGCAATTCGTCGAGGAGAAATACAAGGGCTCAGGGAATTCCTGTTACAAGTACGTCCCAATCTACCCCACAGCACTAGCTACGGAAGAAGTATGGTGAGGGAACCCTTTACTGTGTACTTGCAAGAATTATATATTTTCATAATATATTTTAATTATTTGTGACAAACTGTTTAAAATATATTTCAGGTTACTCAGTTTTGGGAGTTTACATTTCAGTGCAGATTTGCACCACCTCCAACAGGTTGGCTGGAAGGTGGTGGAGCAATATGCACTGGAAAAGAAGATCTAGAAAATGCAGACACTGAATTCTTGGAAATTTCGAACCTCCGGCCTGAGTACAATGTGTACAAAGCTGTTTATGCTCTGGCGTATTCCCTTGATGATATGCTACAGTGCAAGCCAGGAAGAGGGTCTTTCAGTGGGGACAGCTGTGCGACTCTGCAGTCACTGGAGCCTTGGCAGGTGTGATATCAGTTTACACTCCACCGATGACCTAATTCTTTTACTCTATAATTACTTTCAGAACAGAATTTACACTGCAGGATTCAGTACAATGCCATGAGAAAAACTCTGCTGAAAATAGCTAAATGAATTTTCTGTACTCAGGACTGAAAGTAATGTTTAATGTCTTTAATTAATTAATAATAATAATTAACATATATAAATATACAAAATTTTTAGTGAAGTGACTTGTTTGATTTCGAGTCAGAATGTAGTGAGTTCATATATACAAGTATAATAGATCTTATTTGATTATTAAGTAGCAGTTCCACACAAAATTAATGAATTTAATATACATTCCTTTGTAACAGCTTGTTTATCACTTGGAAAGGGTGAACTTCACCACTTCATTTGGTGATCAAGTGTCATTTGATGAGAATGGCGATGCATTACCAATTTACGATGTGATGAACTGGTTGTGGCTCCCTGATGGAAGCACTGAAGTTCAGAATGTGGGTGAGGTTAAGAGGTCAACTTTCAAAGGTGAAGAACTCATACTTGATGAAGACAAAATATTCTGGAATTTTGAATCCAAAAAGGTTATATATAGTTTTTGTAGACTTATACTGTACATGTGACAAAAGTAAAATAACATTGTAAGATGTAAGATGTAATTTTTTTCATGTAGCCACCTCAATCAGTATGTAGTGAGAGCTGTCCTCCTGGTGCCCACATGGTGAGAAGGAAGGGGGAACCCGAATGCTGCTTTGACTGCATCCCTTGTTCTGAGGGAAAAATCACTAACACGAGCGGTACGTTTTATTCTTTCTGCATGATATATTTAATTTCATTATTATGAAAAATAATATGCATTTCATCAATGTTCCCTTTTGTATCAGACTCCTTGGAGTGTACCAGTTGTCCAGAGGATTTTTGGTCAAACCCCAACCGTGACCACTGTGTTCCAAAGCAGACAGAATTTCTCTCCTACCATGAGCCTCTGGGTATTTGCTTGACAGCAACCTCATTACTGGGCACATTTGTATGTGCTGTTGTTCTAGGGATCTTCATCTACCATCGCAGAACACCCATAGTGCGTGCCAACAATTCAGAACTTAGTTTCCAGCTATTGCTGTCACTTAAAATGTGTTTCCTGTGTTCACTGCTGTTCATTGGACGACCTAGGCTTTGGACATGCCAACTTAGACATGCAGCATTTGGGATCAGCTTTGTGCTGTGTGTCTCATGCATCCTGGTGAAAACCATGGTTGTTCTGGCTGTGTTCAAAGCCTCCAAGCCAGGAGGGGGAACCAGTTTGAAGTGGTTTGGTGCTATGCAGCAGAGAGGAACAGTTCTGTTTCTTACATCTATTCAGGCAGCCATTTGCACTACCTGGCTTGTCTCTTCCTCTCCAGCTCCACATAAAAACACCCAATACCACAATGATAAGATAGTGTATGAGTGTGCAGTTGGGTCCACTGTTGGTTTTGCAGTGTTATTGGGCTATATTGGCATGCTGGCCTTCCTCAGTTGTCTAATTGCATTCCTGGTGAGGAATCTCCCCGACAGTTTTAATGAGGCCAAGCTCATCACATTCAGCATGCTGATCTTCTGTGCTGTGTGGGTGGCCTTTGTTCCTGCTTATATCAGCTCACCAGGAAAACTTGCAGATGCAGTGGAGGTGTTTGCCATCTTGGCTTCAAGTTTTGGACTCTTGATCACACTGTTTGGACCCAAATGTTACATAATCCTGTTGAGACCAGAGATGAACACAAAGAAAGCTGTTATGGGTCATGGCATTGAGTCATAAAAAGTTCACTAATTTCAAAAGAAAGAAAAGAGAAAAAATTCTCTCTCCAGTTTTTCTCCAGACAGAAAAAAAATGTGTATTTAAATCAATTTTATATTTCTTTTAAATCTTGGCGCTGGTGTCACATGATTGCAAATGCACAAATACTGTGATTCATTCTACTTTCATTTATTTTTTTTAGATGCAGCTAAAGTACACACTAATCTTACTCCTAATATGTAATTACCTACTCGTTGATGCTTACTCGTGAAATTTAACCCCAATTGAAACATACAGATTGTTGATTTTTTTGTTTATTTAATTTAAAAAAAAATTGTTCCCATGAATCTACATTGAGTAGTGTTCAATTACATCATCCAAACAATTTCTGCATCCTCATGAACTTTGAATCAATCCATTAAAAATACATAGGAGGTGGATCTTCCCCTTTCACCAGCTTGAATAAAGTGGATATGGTGTTTCACCTAATTGCATTTTATGTAAATAAAGAGAGAGCGGGCACACACATAAACACAAATTTTTTTTGACACATTTGAACAGATATTTTTTGATAAACTGGAAAGGTATGCGCTTAGAGAGGTGGCATTCGACTGGGTAAAGAGTTATTTAATAAACAAGTGACAACTTCTGAATCAAACCAAAGTTCAATTATCAAAATTTTTGAGCAATGGTTTTCCCACAGAGTTCCATCTGCGTGAATATTGGGCCCAAATCTCATGATCTTTTGTAAATGTGATGATAAATAACGTCAAAATGGAGACTATACCAGATTACATTTTTTTTTATTATTTTGTAGACTACAAAATCAACTGGAAACTTAAAATAAAATATGTGCAATCAGATGTATCTAGAAGTATTTGTTAAATCATTTAAATCATAAAGCACTTCATATACTGCATGACACAGGAGCCAAGGGGACACAAGAGAGTACACATGAAAGCATAACACAACAACGACGCGACACAGAAGACATGACACTCAGGGGAAACATGCCATGACACATAGGGAGGGAAACATGGGAACAGCAGAGGGAAACAAGACACAAGGGCTGACACAAACACACTGAAACACAGACACACAGCGAGGGACACACAATAAAGACACAAGGAGAGTCTAAATGTACAATAAAATAGAATAAACTACTAAATGAATCTTAAATAATAAACCAGAATACAAAAAGACAACCAAACATCAGAAGTTCAAAAAGCTGGGTTACAATGTCCAAGAACCATGACAACCTTGCAATATAAAGTGCCTTGAGTTGACTGTTTGTTGGTGCTGTATAAATAAAACTGATTTTAACTGAGTTGAACAGAATTGAATTGAAAATTGAATTAAAAATCAACTGTGAATAAACATTTGCATCATTTAACTTGTAATGCTGTGTGTGCCGAGTCATTTGTCAAAGACAGTGTTGGGAAGGCTACTTTTAAAATGTATTCTACTACAGATTACAGAATACATGCCCCAAAATGTATTTTGTAACGTATTCCGTTACGTTATTCAATGAGAGTAACGCATTCTGAATACTTTGGCTTACTTTACCAACTAGATTTTTAAATCTTAATATAAAATGAGTAACAGTAGGGTGGACATTAGGTAAGGCTGCACTTTTTGCAGCAATCTCCTATAGAAAACTATTCCGTGCATATAAAAGACAAATTTGTACACTTCCAACTCCCTCTGTGTCCAGTCTTGTCGCTGTGTTTTCTCCCAAGCCTGTCCCAAGCATATAGTTAGGGTCTGCTGGGAGCATCTGGCAGTAATGGCACTTTACAAGATCTTTAATCCCTACCTCCAGCAAAATTTCAACAATCTTGATCTTGATCAACAATCTTCCATGCCTCCATTATTGAAGTTGCTTCACTAAGCTGTAGCTCCAAGTTAGTTGGTAGGTACCAACTAACTGTCCACTATCCATCGATAGTGGAGAGTGGAAAAAAAAGGTGAAGGGCTTTGAGAGCTTGTTTGATATTGTCAGCAAGTCAGACTCATTCTTAATAGCATTGCAGCAAAATTTGAAGTGGAAAGAATGAGAATCAACTACTCCAAGTTAGAGGCAATGGTTTTCAGCTGACAAACCCTGAACTGCCCAATCTAAGTAAGGGACAAGTTGCTGCCAAAAGTGGAGGAGTTTAATATCTTGGGGTCTTGTTCAAGAGTGTGGACTCACCCTGTCTCTCACTAGTGATAGACAGATTGGGGTCATGTCTGCAGCTATGGTGACACTCCATTGGTGATGAAGAGAGTGGAGAAAGACAGCAAACCTGTTGATTTTGCAAGTCAATCTATGCTGTGACCCTTACCTGACCAAAAGAATGAGACTGCAGATACAAATGGTGAAAATAAGTCTTCTCCAAAGGGGGGCTGTGCTGTCCTTTAGAGATTGGGTGAGGATTATAGTCATTCAAGATGGACTCAGCCTAGAGCTACTTTTCACCCACATCGAAATAAGCCAGTTTGATTGGTTTAGGAATCTGAATAGGATGCCTCCTTGGTGAGGTGTTAAAGGCATGTTCAGAAAGAGGCTGTAAGACTGTAAATGTTTTGGTCTTCATTCTTACTTTATGTCACTCGATAAATGAAATAATGAATAAAAATAAGTAAATAATAAAACACAAAGAAAA